TAAATTTCAAATTTAGGAGATGTTAGAAGTTTAGAGTTGAAGTAGACTTCAGAAGAAACCAGAAACCCAATCCTAAAGAGTAAACAAGGATAAACCACTAATCCTATTCAAAAGATGTGGGAGGCATGTGAACCAGATGATTGTGGACCAATCTACTCCTATTGAAATGTCTTTCATTTCTATTTATTAGACCAAAGCATAAACCAATTTAAGTAACTTTAGTACTAATTCTTCTACAGAAATTAAACATCCTGCATACTGGTTAATGTCATCAGTTGCTATATATATAAAAAAAAATATTGTTAATTAAATTTCAGAATTTAGGAGATGTTAGAAGTTTAGAGTTGAAGTAGACTTCCAGAAGAAACCAGAAACCCAATCCTAAAGAGTAAACAAGGGATAAACCACTAATCCTATTCAAAAGATGTGGGAGGCATGTGAACCAGATGATTGTGGACCAATCTACTCCTATTGAAATGTCTTTCATTTCTATTTATTAGACCAAAGCATAAACCAATTTAAGTAACTTTAGTACTAATTCTTCTACAGAAATTAAACATCCTGCATACTGGTTAATGTCATCAGTTGCTTATATATATAAAAAAAAATATTGTTAATTAAATTTCCAGAATTTAGGAGATGTTAGAAGTTTAGAGTTGAAGTAGACTTCAGAAAACCAGAAACCCAATCCTAAAAAAGAGTAAACAAGGATAAACCACTAATCCTATTCAAAAGATGTGGGAGGCATGTGAACCAGATGATTGTGGACCAATCTACTCCTATTGAAATGTCTTTCATTTCTATTTATTAGACCAAAGCATAAACCAATTTAAGTAACTTTAGTACTAATTCTTCTACAGAAATTAAACATCCTGCATACTGGTTAATGTCATCAGTTGCTTATATATAAAAAAAAAATATTGTTAATTAAATTTCAGAATTTAGGAGATGTTAGAAGTTTAGAGTTGAAGTAGACTTCAGAAGAAACAAAACCCAATCCTAAAGAGTAAACAAGGGATAAACCACTAATCCTATTCAAAAAAAGATGTGGGAGGCATGTGAACCAGATGATTGTGGACCAATCTACTCCTATTGAAATGTCTTTCATTTCTATTTATTAGACAAAGCATAAACCAATTTAAGTAACTTTAGTACTAATTCTTCTACAGAAATTAAACATCCTGCATACTGGTTAATGTCATCAGTTGCTTATATATATAAAAAAAAAAAATATTGTTAATTAAATTTCAGAATTTAGGAGATGTTAGAAGTTTAGAGTTGAAGTAGACTTCAGAAGAAACCAGAAACCCAATCCTAAAAAGTAAACAAGGATAAAAAACCACTAATCTATTCAAAAAGATGTGGGAGGCATGTGAACCAGATGATTGTGGACCAATCTACTCCTATTGAAATGTCTTTCATTTCTATTTAAACAAAGCAAAACCAATTTAAGTAACTTTAGTACTAATTCTTCTACAAAATTAAACATCCTGCATACTGGTTAATGTCATCAGTTGTTATATATATAAAAAAAAATATTGTTAATTAAATTTCAGAATTTAGGAGATGTTAGAAGTTTAGAGTTGAAGTTAGACTTCAGAAGAAACCAGAAACCCAATCCTAAAGAGTAAACAAGGGATAAACCACTAATCCTATTCAAAAAGATGTGGGAGGCATGTGAACCAGATGATTGTGGACCAATCTACTCCTATTGAAATGTCTTTCATTTCTATTTATTAGACCAAAGCATAAACCAATTTAAGTAACTTTAGTACTAATTCTTCTACAGAAATTAAACATCCTGCATACTGGTTAATGTCATCAGTTGCTTATATATATAAAAAAAAATATTGTTAATTAAATTTCAGAATTTAGGAGATGTTAGAAGTTTAGAGTTGAAGTAGACTTCAGAAGAAACCAGAAACCCAATCCTAAAGAGTAAACAAAGGATAAACCACTAATCCTATTCAAAAGATGTGGGAGGCATGTGAACCAGATGATTGTGGACCAATCTACTCCTATTGAAATGTCTTTCATTTCTATTTATTAGACCAAAGCATAAACCAATTTAAGTAACTTTAGTACTAATTCTTCTACAGAAATTAAACATCCTGCATACTGGTTAATGTCATCAGTTGCTTATATATAAAAAAAAAAATATTGTTAATTAAATTTCAGAATTTAGGAGATGTTAGAAGTTTAGAGTTGAAGTAGACTTCAGAAGAAACCAGAAACCCAATCCTAAAAAAAGAGTAAACAAGGGATAAAACCACTAATCCTATTCAAAAGATGTGGGAGGCATGTGAACCAGATGATTGTGGACCAATCTACTCCTATTGAAATGTCTTTCATTTCTATTTATTAGACCAAAGCATAAACCAATTTAAGTAACTTTAGTACTAATTCTTCTACAGAAATTAAACATCCTGCATACTGGTTAATGTCATCAGTTGCTTATATATAAAAAAAAAAAATATTGTTAATTAAATTTCAGAATTTAGGAGATGTTAGAAGTTTAGAGTTGAAGTAGACTTCAGAAGAAACCAGAAACCCAATCCTAAAAAGTAAACAAGGGATAAACCACTAATCCTATTCAAAAATGATGTAGGAGGTATGTGAACCAGATGATTGTGGACCAATCTACTCCTATTGAAATGTCTTTCATTTCTATTTATTAGACCAAAGCATAAACCAATTTAAGTAACTTTAGTACTAATTCTTCTACAGAAATTAAACATCCTGCATACTGCATAGTTAATGTCATCATTTGCTTATATATAAAAAAAAAAAAATATTGTTAATTAAATTTCAGAATTTAGGAGATGTTAGAAGTTTAGAGTTGAAGTAGACTTCAGAAGAAACCAGAAACCCAATCCTAAAAAAAGAGTAAACAAGGGATAAACCACTAATCCTATTCAAAAGATGTGGGAGGCATGTGAACCAGATGATTGTGGACCAATCTACTCCTATTGAAATGTCTTTCATTTCTATTTATTAGACCAAAGCATAAACCAATTTAAGTAACTTTAGTACTAATTCTTCTACAGAAATTAAGCATCCTGCATACTAGTTAATGTCATCAATTTGCTTATATATAAAAAAAAAAAAATGTTAATTAAATTTCAGAATTTAGGAGATGTTAGAAGTTTAGAGTTGAAGTAGACTTCAGAAGAAACCAGAAACCCAATCCTAAAGAGTAAACAAGGGATAAACCACTAATCCTATTCAAAAGATGTGGGAGGCATGTGAACCAGATGATTGTGGACCAATCTACTCCTATTGAAATGTCTTTCATTTCTATTTATTAGACCAAAGCATGAACCAATTTAAGTAACTTTAGTACTAATTCTTCTACAGAAATTAAGCATCCTGCATACTGGTTAATGTCATCAGTTGCTTATATATATAAAAAAAAAAAATATTGTTAATTAAATTTCAGAATTTAGGAGATGTTAGAAGTTTAGAGTTGAAGTAGACTTCAGAAGAAAACCAGAAACCCAATCCTAAAAAGTAAACAAGGGATAAACCATAATCCTATTCAAAAGATGTGGGAGGCATGTGAACCAGATGATTTGGACCAATCTACTCCTATTGAAATGTCTTTCATTTCTATTTATTAGACCAAAGCATAAACCAATTTAAGTAACTTTAGTACTAATTCTTCTACAGAAATTAAACATCCTGCATACTGGTTAATGTCATCAGTTGCTTATATATATAAAAAAAAAAAAATATTGTTAATTAAATTTCAGAATTTAGAGATGTTAGAAGTTTAAGTTGAAGAGACTTCCAGAAGAAACCAGAAACCCAATCCTAAAGAAAACAAGGGATAAACCACTTCCTATTCAAAAGATATGATTGTCTACTTTTATGAGACCAAAGCATGAACCAATTTAAGTAACTTTAGTACCTTTTTCTACAGAAATTAAGCATCCTTCATTCTTAATATATAAAAAAAAAATTTAATTAAATTTTTAGGAGATGTTAGAAGTTTAGAGTTGAAGTAGACTTTTCCTAAAGAGTGAAACAAAGGGATAAACCACTAATCTATTCAAAAGATGTGAATTTACAGATGATTGTGGACCAATCTTAAGAAATACTTTCATTTCTATTTAAATAAACCAATTTAAGTAACTTTAGTAATTTTCTTCTACAAAACATCCTGCACTATTGCTTATATAAAAGAAAAATTGTATATTCTCAAACATTTGGTTCATGTATCTTGATGCTTTTTAAATAAGCATGTTCTTCTTAAATCAGATTTTATTTTTTTTATTTTATTTTTCAAAGATAGCTTCTAGTGTGAATTTATTTTAACTTAAAACAATACTGTATTACATATTTTAAAACAGCTGGCACTATTTCCCCTATCTTGTCTCACTTTCTCCATCCTTATTCTGTACATCTAGTTTTGTTTGTGACATTGAATTACTTTTGGAGAATCCATCACATGTGAATTAAAACATGAAATACATATTTTTATATTTTAATTATTTCCCCCTATCTTGTATTGTCCTGATTTCTGAGGATTAGGAAAATAAAAAAATTTTACTATTAGTTATAAAATTTTAAGAAATATCTTATGAAGATGTTTTTTTTTTTTTTTTTTTTTTTTGACTATGTTCAAAGAGAGGTAGATAATTTACCACATGAGTATTGTTGAAGATTGTGTTTTGACTATTTCACTACAAAAGGTTTAGAAATCGGCCTTTAATATCTTGATTTTGATTTCAGTTAAAATGTTGATGCCAATGTGCAACTTACTTCAGCCACTAGGCACATCAACTTGTGTGTACAATAATAAATGATTTTTTTTCCTTTGTCTTTGCAATTTTCCTTTTAACTTGTATAAATTTTGTGGGGATGGTTTGCAATAATTGTTTGCTTCCTTTCATTCATATTCTGTTGCTTGCTGTAACTTTTGGCCTCTTATATCAACCCATAAAATAAATAATGCAAATTTTATCTTTAATAAAAAGAAAATTCCATTTTTCCTTTAGGAAATGGTGGGTCAATTTACAGCCGATTATTATAGCATAGGTGGACTGACTTTAGAATCTCGGAAAAGGTGAGTATAATTTCCACCACATTTTTAAATCTTCTTTTTTTATACTAAGTTTTAAATTGAATTTGTTCTAGTTGGCAGAAATTATTTGTGGTCTTCTTAACAGAATTTTAAATCTTCTCATTTTACATGTGGTGACAAGAATGAACAATGGAAGGAATAGCTTTATAAAATTATCAGCTTTGATAATTTAATTAAAACAAGCATTTTTCAGGCAGTTTTATTTTTATAACTGGCATGTTGGATTTGCTAGTGAAATCTAGTTTGCTGATATGCCATTATTTTCAATCTTGTATTTGCTGAAATTTAGTGTAGTTACTTTTGAAAGAGATGAAAGCTGAACTTTGGACTAAAGTGAACAAGTTTTGTAAAAAAGCAGTATTACTTGCTACTATTCTATGATTGTACATGCAATATGTAATAGCCTTGTTTTGTCAGTAACACTTGGAACCAAGTCTTCATCCCAACATTGAATACCAAAAGTGTGCAACACACACACACACACACACACTAAATACCAAGAGTGCAGAACACACACACACACACTAAATACCAAGAGTGCAGAACACACACACACACACACACACACACACACACACACTAAATACCAAGAGTGCGGAACACACACACACGCACTAAATACCAAGAGAGCGAACACACACACACACGCACTAAATACCAAGAGTGGAACACACACACACTAACACTAAATACCAACACACGCACTAAACACACACACACGCACTAAATACCAAGAGTGAACACACACACACGCACTAAATACCAAGAGTGGAACACACACACACACTAAATACCAAGAGTCGGAACACACACACACACTAAATACCAAGAGTGAACACACACACACACACTAAATACCAAGAGTAACACACACACACACACACACACGCAAATACCAAGAGTGGGAACACACACACACACACACACACACTAAATACCAAGAGTGAGGAACACACACACACACACACGCACTAAATACCAAGAGAAAAGCGGAACACACACACACACACATCACTAAATACCAAGAGTGCGGAACACACACACACACGCACTAAATACCAAGATAAACACACACACACACAAATGCAAGAGTGCGTGGAACACACACGCACTAAATACCAAGAGTGCGGAACACACACACGACTAAATACCAAGAGGTCGAACACACACACACACACTAAATAACAAGAGTCTTGAACACACACACACACACGCACTAAATACCAAGAGTGCGGAACACACACACACAAACCAAGAGTGCAACACACACACACACACACACGCACTAAATACCAAGAGTGGAACACACACACACACACACGCACTAAATACCAAGAGTGGAACACACACACACACACGCACTAAATACCAAGAGTGGAACACACACACACACACACGCACTAAATACCAAGAGTGCGGAACACACACACACACACACGCACTAAATACCAAGAGTGCGGAACACACACACACGCACTAAATACCAAGAGTGCGGAACACACACACACGCACTAAATACCAAGAGTGCGGAACACACACACACGCACTAAATACCAAGAGTGCGGAAACACACACACACACACGCACTAAATACCAAGAGTACCCACACACACACACACTAAATACCAAGAGTGCGGAACACACACACACACACACACTAAATACCAGAGTCTGGAACACACACACACACACGCACTAAATACGGAACACACACACACACACATACATACACTGAATACCAGAAGTGGAACACACACACACACATACCCATACACTGAATACCAGAAGTCGGAAACACACACACACATACCCATACACTGAATACCAGAAGTCTTGGAACACACACACACACACATACCCATACACTGAATACCAGAAGTGCGGAACACACACACACACACATACCCATACACTGAATACCAGAAGTGCGGACACACACACACACACACACACATACCCATACACTGAATACCAGAAGTGCGGAACACACACACACACACATACCCATACACTGAATACCAGAAGTGCGGAACACACACACACACACATACCCATACACTGAATACCAGAAGTCCGGAACACACACACACACACATACCCATACACTGAATACCAGAAGTGGAACACACACACACACACATACCCATACACTGAATACCAGAAGTGCGGAACACACACACACACCCCATACACTAAATACCAGAAGTGCGGAACACACACACACATACCCATACACTGAATACCAGAAGTGCGGAACACACACACACACACACACACATTGAATAACAAAAATTGCAAGCTTTGTTTGAAAAGTCTGCAAAATACTTTTTCTTAGTACTTAGCATGTAGCAAGTCAGATTTTTGGAGGAAAGTAGTTTTCTAGATACTTCTATCATGAAATTTTTGGTTTTAGTCACAATTTGTGTGAATTACAAGCACAAGATTGCAAAGTAAAGACTAATAATTGTGGTGGGAACATACAAAGATCATGGTAAACGTCTTGTTCATTGCTTGGAATGTGAAAAATACAGTTGTAATGATGATAAATTCTTTTAAAAGATCATACTGAAAATAAAATGAAACCTATTTTTGCATGTTTTCATTTTTGAAACTTAGAAATTCTTTTTCTTTTTTTTTTTTTAAATATTGGCCTTTTAATTTGATTTTTCAAAGCAAGAAACTTTTTTTTTCTTCATTTTTATTTATCCTATCAAAACCAGAAAGAACAGTCAAGACAACATATACCATTTAGTTCTTAATTTTTCTTGTTATATCTATAATATTATGAATGGGGTTTTTGAAAAACACCATGGTGCTAATACTGTGACAATATCCTATAGTTAAGCGTGCATCTGAAAATATTTTACATGAGTTTCTAAAAAAAAAAACTCGAAATTAACAAACATAGTAAAGATAGTTATTTTAAAATTGCTAACTTAATAGTTATCTATTTTCAGCAAAAAAACAAAATTGAATAAAAAGAATTCATTTATTTATCTATTTTTGGCAGAAAATAGATAAGTATTAGGTTAACAATTTTAAAATAAATATCTTTACTATATTTAATGTTTTTTTTTTTGTTTTTTTTTTATGATGCCACAAAGATGCCAGAGGTTAATGAGCATGAAAGAGAATAAGACCTTATTGAAGAGAAAGGACAATAAAGGAGTAGATTTCAGGAAGACATAAAATCACAATTTACATTGTATTTAAATCTTTGAAGCTCATAGCTGACAGGAAAGCAAGAAACTAGAAGAGTTCCACAGGTGAGAAGTGTGAGGAAAAAATTATTAGAATAGAACATACAGTTACATCCAGCTATTACAACAGTAAAATGATGAGACCTACTTGCAAATCTAGTCAGTCAGTTATGTGCCATGTGTGATACACGTTTAAGCGATCATGTATCTTTTGATACATGACTGACGAGGCAGATTTTTTTTTCTTGTGGTAGGTTGCCATTTCTTTCTACAGTAGACCAGTTGCCATCCAAGGCTATAGAACCTGGTCTTTCCTGCTATTTACCCATAGCTGAAGGGAGAAGAGGATTCATACCTTTCCCAAGGGTATTAGCACATAAGGGAATGTAATGGATTCGACTGGAATTTGAACTCTGCTCTCCGATTTCTCAATCTGAGCCGCTATCCATTACTCTACCGTGTATCCTCTTTAGTAGTATGCTTAAATTCATGTGGCCAAGGTACCAAGGAGGAGAACTCATTAGAACAACTACTGTGAAAATATTTATAGAAAAGACAGGAAAACCATATTATGGTAGGAGGAAAGTGACTAAAGATGCCAGGCCAGGACCAGCAACATTGCAGACCCTACATTGGATTTTGTCGAGAATCTCTAGATATATTACAGGAGCTCCAGATTGTTCAATTCATGAACAAATGGTAAATTTATAAATGAAGGGCAAAAATCATTCTATGTTAAATATATAAGGGTGTTTCAATAAGTCTGTAGTCTGACAGATACTTGTTAATTGAATTTTGATCTTTTCTTGAAATCATTGCATTGATAAGGCGGGAAATTGTCGTAAAACATTTTTTTTCATCATTAGGCTGCAGCCTTTAAGTTACAGGCTATGAAAACTTTTGCCCACTACTTCTTTATATACTTTCTGTATTTGTATTTTTTGTCTGGAGCCATTATACTAAATGAGTTTTGATATATTTGCTACTTGCTACTAATGGTATCACATTTTTACATAATCTAGTGTGAGTATACAGATATCTAAATAAAAACTTTTATCCTTTTTTTTTCTGTCTTTATATGAAATTGACTCAGCCTCATCCCGCCGTCTGTACGTGAAATTGACTCCCCCTCGTCTGTACATGAAATTGACGCCCCTCGTCTGTACGTGAAATTGACTACCCCCGCCCCTCGTCTGTACGTGAAATTGACCCACCCCCGCCCCTCGTCTGTACGTGAAATTGACCCCCCGCCCCTCGTCTGTACGTGAAATTGACACCCCCCCAGCCGTCTGTACGTGAAATTGACTGCCCCCAGCCGTCTGTACGTGAAATTGACTGCCCCCAGCCGTCTGTACATGAAATTGACTGCCACCAGCCGTCTGTACGTGAAATTGACTGCCCCCCCCTTCTCTACATGATATTGACATTTTTTTTCCCTGTCTTCATAAAAATGAACTATTTTTTTTTGTCTTTTTCATTCTTGTTGTTTAGGAGAGAGCACTTAAGTCCAGAAGACTTACAGCGGAACAAAGCATTGGTGGAGAATTTCTGTAAGGGTGCTATTGCTGAAGATGCAACCCAAATAGGCAAAGTAAGATAATTATTTTATTTTGGCTCTTATCCTTTGCAATTGCTTATTTTTGTCTCATCACAATAAAGCTGACTTTAACAAACATGCTTGTAGGTTTATGAAAACAAGTTGGAATTTTTGTTTTTAATCAGTTTACTTCAAGCAAGGCAATAACACCACTAAGATGCCAATTGTTACTGAGAGTAAAAGAGAATGAGGCAACTTTAGTGAGGAAAAGGGACAATAAAAGAACAGGTTTCAGAAGAACAAGAAATGGTGATTGATGTTGAATTTAAATTTTTGAAGATCACATTTGTCAGGGAAGTAAGAACCTGGAAAAGAGTTCCACACGCATGAAGTACAAAGAAAGAAACTGTTGGAAAAAAGTTAGTTACATCTTTGCTGTTTCAACAGTAAAACCATGAGATCTAGTTTTCCAATCTAGTACTGTGTTCAAATTAATGTGGTCATCGTACCAAAAAAGGAAAACTGAACAATTGCTATGAAAATATTTATAGAAATGACAGGTTATGGCAAGGGGGGAAAGTGACTGAAGCTGAGATGTCCACTCAGGGATGATAACTTTACAGATTCTTCTGTGGGTTTGTCAAGAATCTCAAGATATATGGCAGCAGTATTCAATGCATGGACAAATGGTAGATTTATAAACATACAAGATTCTGGCATGAGAAATTGTCTAGAATGGCATGGTTAACCAACTTTCCTAGCAGCAGACCTAGCAATTGATTCAATATAATCATTCCACTTGATGCCAATGGAAAAAAATGTGAGACTGAGAATGTGCAATGAGTTGCTCTCCAGAAGGTTAGCATCAGCCATGCTGATGGTATGCAAAAATGGTTCTAAGATGAGAAAAGATAGCAGTTTAGTTTTGAAGGCATTGAAATGTACAAGCCATTTTTGCTGGATTTTTAATCAATACTGAACTTGAGAAACCTACTTTCTTGAAAAAATTATTTTTAGAGAAAGATTTTATAAATTTCAACTGACAGTAGTCCTGGCTGCTCATTCAATGAATGTCAAGTGTTTCCTTATAAGGAAACGGCTACTATTACCATTCTAAAGTCTTATTTCACTTCCTGTATCTGTTCTAGTTCCCATTCAAATAAATAGAAAGCATTACTTTTGATGAATCTATCAGATGTGAATTAAAATATGCACTATATATTTTTGTACATCAGAGCCTTTTAAAAAGTAATATTGTCCTTTCATTTGGAAAGGAAATTCCGTTATTCTATATGCCGTGTTCCTTCTGGGTGTGGGAGATCATGGATCTCCACAACTTCCTATCCTTTGTAGCTTTTAGAAAGTTTTCTTTCCATTTTCTCCCAGTCCATTCCCTGTAATGCCAGCCATTTACACAAGCTTGTTAGGTAGTTTAAATCATTGATTTCCTCTGTCTCGTCTGTCTTGAATATGTCTTGTGAGTCTCGGATTCTCCAAACCTTCTCTCCTCATTATCAATCCTAAAAATTTCAACTCTTTCTTTCTGATTCACTTCTCTCAAAATGAGAGGATGATCAAGGGGAAGATAAGCAATATTTTTCTTGGTAAGTGTAATGTATTATCTCCCTTTGACAATTACAATTTATCACTGGTAGAAGGCAATCTAAAATTGTATTTACAAAATTTTCAACTTTTTTTTTTTTTTTTTTTTTTAAATAATCGAGTTCACCACAAGCAAGGCAGTAAAGCCACCGAGACACAAGAGTTTACTTGGTGTAAAAGAGTTAAAAACAGGAACATTGCTAAGGTTCACACCTTAGCAATGTTCCTGTTGGAACAGAGGAAGAGTAATCAAGAAGACAGAAGATAGTGATTGATATTGCATTTAAATTTTTGCAGATTAAAGTTGGCTGGAAAGCATGTAGCCGGAAAGGAGTTCCACAAGCGAGAAGTGTGAGAAAAGAAACTGTTATTATAGAACTTATAGTTACATCTAGCCAGCTTAACTGTAAATTGGTGAGACCTTGTCAACAGTCTAGTACTGCACTTAAATTTGAAGTATCTAGGCACCATAGTGAAGAGCTAATTCAAACAATTACCATGAAAGTATTTATAGAAAAGGGAGGCAAACTTATGTGGTAGGAAAGTGACTAATGCTGAAGTACCCGATTGGTGCCAATAATATTACTGATTCTTCTTTGGATTTCATCAAGAAGATTTAGCTAGATAGCTGGAGTACTGGACCATATGTGGCAACAATCGGGTTTTAGTTATGTCCAAGCAGTAGCATTGGAATGCAGGATGGCAGTCAGGTGTAGAGAGTATTACATGATAAAATTTGATTTATAGTAATATGAAAAAACAAAAATTATTTCTGGTTACAGTGTCACACTCTTTTTTTCTTCAATTATTGATTAGTAGGGGTGAGGTGGGGTTGATATATGGAGGCAATGTTATTAAAATCCCACAAAATACAGATATTTTTGAGAAATAACCCATTGTCACTGGGGTGCACAGCATAGACAAATGAGTGTAATTTGATCATCAGTCGATGGTATGTTTAGGAGGACCAACAGATTTCATCGATGCACACACTACACCATTATAAAGCTACTGCAAGTCCATAAGTTGTCTGGTTGACAACTGGATTTCACACTTTTATGGCACTACATCTAAACTTTTCCATTAGCCCCAAACAACTGGAGCCAGAACTCAACGAACCATAACATATGTTGTCAGATTCCAGTTTGTGATGTCATGAGACCCAGGTTTAAAAAAAAAGAAAAAAAAAAAAAAATGGATACCAAGGAAAGACAAGTTTCATATTTTCGTGCCTGAATACCAATAAAATATTCAAGTTGGTTTCCTGTATCATGCTAGACGGGGTTTTTTTTCTCTTCAGAGTCTATCTTGTAAATCTATTCATCCAGTCTAAGTTTAATGGAACCTACACTCAGATACTGAGAACTATGCTTAATATCTCTTTGAGACAACATCCAATTAAATCACAGCTCTATAGACCCATCTCTGATCTTTCTACAATCTTATATGAATTCAGAATGAACGTTGCAGGATACTGCTGACTTGTATTGGTGCAAAAGATCATGGGAATAAGAGGAAAAGAACAACTTTGGAGTTATCGCAAAAGGTGGAAATTTTAAACTGGTGAAAGTTCATTGTAACTAATAGGTGAATTCAACATAGGAGAGTCAACATTGTATGATATAAAATCTTCCAAAGAAACTATTTTCTAGTGTTCACACTGTCACAATAAACAAGGAAATAAAAAAAAAAAAAAAAACGTGATTGTGATGAAACCTGGATTGAAATTGAAAAAAACTATAGAAAAATTTTATGGAAAGAAAGCCAGCATTCGGCTATGATGATTGCAATAAAGCATGCAGAGTTAGTCTTTCATTTAAAAAATTTCAAGAACAAAAGCAAAACGAAATGCAGAAAAAGTTGAGAATGACATTAGAAGAGAAAGTCATCATGTGAGAGTTTTTTTTTTTTTTTTAATCCTTGTTACATTATTTGCTTTGCGTATGTGGCATACTTAATTTAATGAATTTTCATTAACATTACATAATTAATTTTTTTTTCCTTAAAAATAATTCTGTTATATATCCCTCACCATTAGCTTATTTTGTTTACTATAAAACATTGAAAATAAATGTTAAGCCTGATTTCAGTTCTTTTATTTTGAACCAATTATAAACCCCTCATATCCGGACTTTGTAACTATTCCTCGTATCTGGAAGGCCTTCTTAGTCTCGTTGTCAGGGATTCTACTGTATAAATTTTATAAGGCTGTGCTATAAGGCTTTCACTGATCACTGGAATAAAATTCCAATGCTACGATTTTAAAGCTAAACTTAATTTTCAAAATGGCTTCCTCAAAAAAATGGTAACTATTTGGATAAAATATCTTGTATAGTTATTTATCATGTTAAAACCCACATTTCAAATTGAGTGCAATACCACAGTTCCAAAATCAACCTGTCCTATTGTACAAATGCTCCAAAAAGTGCAATAAAATCATCTTGCAGACCAAATTTTATGTACTGAAATTTTGTGTATTCAGTGTCCCTTTTTATAGAGCAGAGCTATGTACTCTGAAGAAGGCCAATGTACAGCACCTTGTCACTTTTGAATTTCACTACTACCACTGTCTTAAGATCAGATGGTCCCACATAAAAAAATGTTGAAATTGGTGACTGAGTTTGGATTAGATAGAACATCACTCAAGCCATTATCTGAAGAAAGCTGGACCAGACATCTGCTGGATTGATAAATGAAGGCTGTTGAAGCTAGAAATCTTTGGAATCATGGATGGCAACAACAGAAGTGGATGTGATAGATTGACAACATTAATTATTGGTTTAAGGTAGGAATAGCTAAGCTAACTCTAGCTGCCAAAAATAGAGAATACAGGAGAGCCATTATCCAGAATGCAGTTGACCTGAATGACTGTTGGGCCCAAAGAAATTAATGAGAGAAAAAAATATTTATAAAGTGCACATTTTTTAAAAAGAATACTAGTCTCTTTTTGGAGGAAAATGTTGATGGGTTTTTATTTTTTAATTTTTTCAGATTAAAATATTTCTTCTCACTCCCACCTCCTCGCTCCATCCCTACTCCTTGTGCTCTCACACTCTTTCTCGAAAAAAACTTCTCTGCGACTCTTTCTAAAAAAAAAAAAAAAACTTCTCTCTGACTCTTTCTCAAAAAATGTTTTGTAAATGATTTTTTTCTTTTTTCTGTTTCTCTTGCTCTCATCATCAATTTTTGTTGTGCCCTTAGCAGCCTGAAAGGCGGATGTCACTTCTTCCGCCAGCAAAACCTTGCCTGAAATGGGAAGAATATGAAAGTTTCACTTCTGGCAAATGCCCTTGTTTGGGACGGGTTTTAGTTTCTAAGGAAAACTGTAAAACTTATAAAGCTACTGTGGCTATGGTAAGTATAATTTTGCTCATTGCAAGAAGCTTGCTTCAGTTTCATTTTAATTTAATTTTTTTTTTTTTTCCATTTTTCTTAATCCCTATTGTCTGAGAATTTTTGTTAGCTTTGTTGTTATCCATTAGGGGTTTCAGTGGCACTAATGACCATCATGAAAACTGGATTTGACAAATTTACAGTTCTGGTTGAGAATTCATTTTTACATTTTGGAAAAGTATGAACCCACTTTTGTTTATACTGTTCTGTCACAAAAATCTGTAGCAGAATTTTTTATCACTGGTGAGCAAAGATGGTTGATAAAGAAGAGTGGAGTGGATTTCATTTTCTGTGTCTCTTCAGGATGTTGGGTGATTAAGGCTCTCTACTACTTGATTTCTTAAGTCAAAATGGATCAGCTAGCAAGTAAATGGATTTTTTCCAATGCTAAGTCAATTCCTTCCTTTTCTCTTGGAAATAATATATATTTATGTTGAAAAAAAAAAGAAGAAAACAAATGAGTTTTTATTTGGATCATTCTTTGATTAAAGTGACAGTTTTAAATCATTTTTTATGAGTTCATTTAGGCTGCAACTGCCAGTTATTCTTAACATTGTAACTATAAATAAGTGACACAATAATTTAACAACTTCTTTAATATTTGATGCGGAATAATTTAACAACTTCTTTAATATTTGATGCGGAATAATTTAACAACTTCTTTAATATTTGATGCGGAATAATTTAACAACTTCTTTAATATTTGATGTGAATAATTTAACAACTTCTTTAATATTTGATGCGGAATAATTTAACAACTTCTTTAATATTTGATGCGGAATAATTTAACAACTTCTTTAATATTTGATGCGGAATAATTTAACAACTTCTTTAATATTTGATGCGGAATAATTTAACAACTTCTTTAATATTTGATGCGGAATAATTTAACAACTTCTTTAATATTTGATGCGGAATAATTTAACAACTTCTTTAATATTTGATGCGGAATAATTTAACAACTTCTTTAATATTTGATGAAATAATTTAACAACTTCTTTAATATTTGATGGAATAATTTAACAACTTCTTTAATATTTGATGCGGAATAATTTAACAACTTCTTTAATATTTGATGCGAATAATTTAACAACTTCTTTAATATTTGATGCGGAATAATTTAACAACTTCTTTAATATTTGATGCGGAATAATTTAACAACTTTAATTAGCTGTGCAATTAATAATTATTTTCTCCTTCTTTCAAGATGCTTAAGAAAATAAAAGCATCCATGAATGATAATTCCTAAATGTAATCTATCAAATCAATAACTAATTTAATGATTCCCTTCTTTACGGCTTTATATTGGAACAACACTTTGTCCTAATGTTTGCCAACAGTACTTAGTATCAAACATTTCTCACTGTTTTTTTTTTTTTTAAATTTTTGCATTTCATGATATTCTTAGTCTCTATTAATGGTGGCCTTTAGCCACTCTATGGATAAAGACTGTGAGTTTCTGTGAAACATTCATTCAATAACTGCTAATTACCTCTTTCTTATTTAACAGATCTTATGGCAACATCAGCCTTTGTCTCTATATCTTTAGATGAGTGTAGAACATTTACTCAGCATTTGGAATCTATCATGTAATCATTTTTGACAGGATAAAAGAGTTATATCTCCCAGGTGCAGAGGCAGCAATTTTGATTGCTTATATAGATTGCTGTCTCTGTATATTCAAATTAATGTTGTTACCTCATCTGATAAAAGCTGACACAAGTTGGTCTGCTATTTAAAGAATGCTGAATTGCTAATGAACTTTTTCTCTTTTTCGCAATTCAATAACTTTGTACCAAATGCCAATATTTTTCTCCCAATTCTTATAACCATCATGAATTTAGGAAACCACTTCTATGAATCAGTAGTGGTGTTTACCTCCAGACTTTTCTGTAAATATGTTCTGTTCTTTTATGTGCTGTGTCCCTTTAGGATGTAGGTAGTCATGGCTCTCCACATCTTCATGTTCCTTGTAGTGCTTAATAAGTTTTATCATTTTGTCATTTCTCCCAAACCCTGTTCTACCATCCATTTGCTCAAATTCATCAAGTACGTTATTTCCCCTGTCCCTCTTTCTTTCAATCTGTCCTGTGAGTATCAAGTGCTCCAGAAATTTCAACTGCTGTTGTTAAGTATAAGTTTCCTTTTTGTTTCCATTTTCTCCAAAACCTCATTGTTGCTCATATGATCTGTTCAGGATATCTTCAGTGTCTTCCTTTAGAACTACATTTCTGTTGCTTCAAGTCTCTTCATCTTTCAAGAGATTGTCCAGCATTCTCTGTCTTACAGAACAGATATTGCATAACAGTTTAGTACTCTTTTCTTTGTTTCTAATGAAATTTTTATGTCTCTTAATATTCTGCTTAGCTTTTGGAATGCATCTTTGGCCATTCCTGTATGATTCCCGATCTCAGTGTTGCACTTTCTGTCCTCTGTCAGGACACTTCCCAAATATTTAAAATTTCTGTACTTATTTGATTTTAGTATCCCTGATTTGTAATTTGCATTTTGGGCACATGACCCAGTGGATAAAAGTCCAAACAATGTAAATAGTGTAAATAATTACAATACTTCATCTCAGAAATATAGACAGATATCTTCTATTTTTTTTTTTTTTTTTAAACTTTCATATTTTAATATTGAAACTTTTCTTCCTTCAGAGTGAAGATTTTCCAATGACAGTAGAAGCGTAAGTATTTTTTTTTTCCTATTTTAGTTGACAAATTTCAGATTTCTTCACCTGTTAGATAAAATAAGGTTAATTTTATGTCTTTCTTTTTTTTTTTTTTTTTTGACAGTACACATTCTTGACTGGTATGACCAAAAAAAATGATACACTTGTTTCGAGAGAAGAATTTGTTTAGCTGTGGATAATTGTTCTTCCATATTTCTCCTGGAGCTTTTCATTTTGACTCTTGTTTTTTTCTTTTGGTTTAAAGGATAATAGGAACATCAAAATCATGATATCTTCCATCAATCTTTGAAACAAAGTGGAATAAATAGGGAAATATAACAAACCCAACAACTTTTCACGTCTTAAATTTAGTGATGAAATTGTTTGTAACTATTACTACTACTATAACAAGAATAACAGCTTTGATGATGATTATGATGATGATTATGATGATGATAACCTCAACCTCTTGATGCTACACTAAACTTCACGGCTTCTCACCTTAACTGATTGAAGATGTTCACTTGTACATATTTTGTCTTGCTGAATTAAGATGGACTACAGTTAACATCCCATTTAATACCACAATTGCCTGATTGTAAACACTTGGGCATGCCAGCTTAGATGTTCATGCATTCTTCATGAGTGGGGCATAGTGGGGGGGGGGACATCATAGTCGGCTATCAAGAGCTTGCCCCCCCCCTCCAAAAACAAACTCGTCACTATATTGGACACATTTGGGTGTGATGAATGTGCTTGGTATATTGAGAGGTATATTTGTACCCTAGTGTCACTTTTAGTGTGCTTGCTACTACTAAATGATGATGCTGGTCACCCCCCCCCCACCAAAACAGCAGCAGCAGAGTATATCCCATAGTGGTTGAGTGATTATAACTTGGTAAGAGAAGCATGTGACCTGGTGGGGGAATCCCCTTCTACCAAGTCTCATAAAACAGATAAAACAGTAGGCTTTCTGTACCTAGAGAGACAGAAAACTAATTTTAATTTATTTCATCTGGTTTTGTTGATTACAAGTTTGGTGGAGATGCTCCCCAGTATTAAACTTTAATATGAATGGAGGAGATCATTTTAGTCGTATAAAGCAAATTTATTTTGGGCAATTAATCTTGTGAATGATGGATGAATTCTTATGCTGCAAGAAATAAAGCCCTATAACTTGCCTCATGAAAGGAGTAAGTATATGTAAGATAGTATGTAATTTGCCTTTACCTGAATATCCTTTAACTTGTGTGCTACATTTGAATGCACACTTTTAATAGAATGAATATCAACATAATCTTGTGCTAGCTTTCTTGGGAACTACTTAAATAAACTGGTCCCCTTGTTTTTAAAAAAAAAAAAAAGGTATCTTTTTTTTTTTTTTTTTTCTCATTAGTTTGGGAGTGTCTGGTTTATGATAGTGATATTGTATAAAATCAATCCTTGACTTTTTCAGTGTAACTGAACACCAGTTATTTAAAAATTTCAAGTTTGAAACTGTGTTTACATCATTGATATCTGCATATTCCCTCGAAATTTTCTTACTTTTCTTTTAACTTTTTTTTTTCTCAGAAGCATGTGCGCACAAACATTGGAGGATAATAATTATTTATCTTAAATGAAGAATAAACAGATATATATACTTTTATTAATATATGTAGATTTTTCTTCTTTAATTAAAAAGGTGTATCCATTAGTTCTTTATTTAAAAGAAATCTTTTTTATTAAGAAAAAAAATGTCTTTTTTTATATGCAGAACATCTAATTTTTGTAACTCTTTTAAATTCATAAAAAAAAACGGAATATTTTTCAATTCTGATGGATGTTGCAACTTACAGAATATCTAATAAAAGCTAATATGCAAAAATTATTTCCCCCCAAAATTTTCTTATTTTTCCTGAGTGGGCCAGTCTACTTAAGTAGTTCTATTTTTTGGTACAGTTTTTGTCTCCAATGGTTAACAGAACAAAACTTTAATGTTTTTTTTTTTTTTTTTTTTTCTCAATTCATAATACAAACAAAATGCTACTGAAGATCTTATCTGTATTCAATGTATCTGTTACAGATTATTAGATGTCTTGGAAGTTATAGCCCCTTTTAAACAGTTTCAAAAGTTGCGAGAGTTCATGACAACAAAACTACCTCCTGGTTTTCCTGTTAAAGTGGGTTAGTAGAAATTTTTTTTTTTTTTAACTTTTTGGAAATTTGATTTATTATTATAATAATAATAATAAAAGCCATTTTAAGTTCCTAGATTGAAAAGATTATTTTTGAGAAATAATTGAAAGGATTATTTTAAATTTTATTATTTTGTGTAAAAGCTATAAGAGAAAAAGATAGTATGAATCCACCTCTTTTCTCCCTAGCTATGGGTTAATTAGTAAGACTTGTATCAAACCATTATTATCTTTAAAAAAATCTTCTGGGCTTTATATAACATGCAAAGGGTTGAGCTGTAGAAAACGAATCAACAACAGAACAAATCACAAAAAATTTCTCAATAGAAAATCATTTAATGAAAAAATATAAATTGTAGGTAAAAGCAATGATTAGTCAGTTTGTGCTTAATAACAATGTGGAATCTTTTTCTAAAAAGGAACTTGTATTTACTGGCTTTCTGTATCATTTGAAAATTTTTTTTTTTCTCTAATATTGTCATCTTTATTGTTATCCTTATATTTTGGCAGTTGCGCATCTTCAGGTATCTGGGTAACCTCCAAGAAATTTTGAACTGTACCATTTACTTATTTGCAGAGGCAGCTTGTTCTCATTCCACTGTCCAATGTCTATGGATATCTTTTTTTTTTTTTTTTTTTTAGTATGGCACACATTGCTCGTTCTGTTTTGACAGAGTCTAAGCCTGCATTACCCATGAAAAAATAGCCTCATGGATTAAAGCATTGTCTTGTGTGTTTGGCAGCATAATAATTGTGAGTTTAATCCACGTGCTGGCTACTACAGGCAGCTGAGCAGTATTACAAAAAAAAATGCCTGAAAAAAAGAAAACGGAACAGATGAAATATTCCTAGACATAGACAGTGGAATGCAAACAATCCATCTGTATAGATTAAACAAAGTGAAAAATTCTCTGAAGGTTACACAGATTGACAAATACCTGAAGAAGGCTGGATAGTGCAACAGCTGAAATGTTGATAATAACAATAATCAGATGAGGATATTAGTCCAAATGTAAATAACATAAATAACTCCTCATCCCAGAAATTTAGACATAACTGTTTTCTTTTCTTTTCTCCATTTTCCAGAATTACCTGTATTTCCGACAGTCACAGCAACAGTAACATTTACAGACTTTGACTGGGTAGATGATTTGTCTGCGAATCTCTTCTGTATACCTGAAGACTATCATGAAGACCCACAGCGTTTTCCAGATTTATGATTTTAGTGATTGCTAAGGTTAAGACACATACACACACACATTTTCTCATAGAAAGAAAAAAAAAAAAACTTTTCCAAAAGATAGGTCCTGATTCTTTTGCTGTCTTATTAAAAGACATCCACTTCTCCCAAAATATCATTTGACAATCTTTAACCTTCGTACCCGCGAAAAAATAATGGTGTGTATAAAGAATGTTTTTTTTTTCCTTAACACTGCAATTATTTTAATTACCTTCACTCCTTGGCAATGTTTATTGTTTTAAAAAGTGATGATTAAAATTGTAATAAAACCTAAACAGACGATGAAAGTGAATTTATACATTTTCTGTTTTTGAGAATTTACAACAAAAATATTAAACACTATTTATTAGATTGTTTATTTACAAGAATAATTTTATATTTACACCATTCATATTTTTAATAAAGTTAACTTTTAAGTTAACTGTATTAAAACTAATGTAATGCATATTTACCATTTATCAATTTATAAAGAAATAAATATGAAAATTTTTTATTCATAAATTTATAAACCTTATTAAAATATTTAAACCAACTATAAGGAAATCCTTATTATTTATCATTTTATAAAGTTTGAATTGATTGGCAATTAGCTGATGTTTTACCTGTCACTCCTCAGGAACAAAGAAAATGCATAAATTCCCTTTCATATGTTTTAAAATTCTAACCATGGCTTTTTAAAACAAACTTTGCCAAGGAAGGTAGTTAAAATAATAGCAGTGGCAAGGAATAAAAAAAACGTCCTTTTGACAAGGTTATTTTTGCAGGCACGGAAGTTAATGATTTCCTATCATTTTTTTTATTTGTATATGGACTAATAACAGTTTAATAAGATTTTCCAGTTGTATTATTCAACTTCTCTGTCAAGTTGTAGCCCATTTCTGAAGGGTCTTTGCTACAGTCCACATTTGCAGTCCTTACAGAGTGTCCTAATTCCAGTCTGAACTTTAACACTTCAGGAAGTCGTTCTTTTTGATACTCTTTGTCTTCGTCAGGTACCTTTTGTATATAATTTTCTTACCATGTCTCACAAATTACACAAAAAAAAATGACACTAAAAAAGCAAATATTTAAGATTGTTGCTTTTTTTTATTTAAAATATTTAACAAAAAATAATTTCATCACCATGGCAACTTTTTTCACCAGAAATTCTGAATTTTTTTTTTTTTTTTTTTTTTTTTTAATGGACTTCGGATATATTCATTAAATGCTTGCTTGTGATTAGAGAGAAAAAAGATAAAAGAAAAACCTTAATTTTAGAAGTATGCAAAATAGACATTAAAAAAAAAAAAAAAAAAAAAATAAGCAAAGGAACAGAAGTTTATCTTAGCACATAAACACTGAAGCAAGACACATGCTAAAACAAGCCTAAGACCATTGGTGACTAGAATTCAACCCATACCATGGAAGTCCGCCCATCCAGTTGAACGTGTATGGTGCTTGAAGACCAACTGTAACCACCAACTCTGCCACCACAAATGCCAATGTATTATTTTGGATGATTTCTGCCGGATCAATATTTTTATTTTTTGTTTTTTTTTTTTTTAAATTTTTTTCCTCCCTGTCCCACTCAAATCTTAAAAAAAAAAAATATCAGTTTCTTGTAGATAAGGAAGGAAGGAAGAAAGAAAGAAAAAATAAACAAAAAAAAACAAATGAGATTTATTTTTCCTTTCATTTGAATTATATAAAGTTTTAAAATATTTTTGTTTTTTGATAATTATTATGGGCTTTGTGTGTGTGTGTACACACACACACGTACTCACCAGATGTGAAATTGATTTTTGCTTTTGAAGTTCAAAATTTTGTCCTGATGTCTGCACATGACAAGGGAATATTTTAATGAGATAAGGAAAAATGTTTTGTTGCTTTTTATTGCTTTTTATTTGTATTTTCCATTAATTTAAATCTTGACAGGAGTAGTTTTTTTTTTTTTTTTTTTTAATTACATATTCACTGACCCTCTAAAATCTTTACTGTCTTCAAAGCATTATGTTGAATCTCTTTTGTGTGTATAATATATATCTATAAACGCCTTACATTTGTGGAATAACTCCATAGGAACAAAGCATACAAGGAAATGTTTATTAACAGGGATTTTAAATTAATTTCTTGGCCATAGTATCTCTTGAGGCCATTTTCTGAGTCCTATTTACAAAATTAGAACAATTCAAGTTTCTTGTCAACTAGTGACATGATGGAACTAGATTTTCTATCCCAGTTCTACATATACTGTTGCCTTTAATTCATTCCACCAATTCCCTGTAGTCAATGATATGACAGGCTGTAGTGGTCATATATCAGTATATTATTTTGTACTTGTTCATGGCTCTGCTTAATACAACCAAAATGCTAAACTTTATATTTATTTTCATTCATTTTTTTTAAAGATATATTTTTCTTTAGTTTTATGTGTGGCTTCAGATTAGAAGGCTAAAGACTAAATTTTTAATCAAATTTAATGAGATGGTATCTTTCAGCTCAAGTTCCAAATAAGATTTTGAGTCTGTGTTGTTGGAATGTAGTGCATTTACCTCCCTTGAATCTATTTACTTATTTAATGTGATTGTCATGGCTTGGTTTTGGCAACAACAATTTGAGGAAAATTTTTCAAACCTGTTGCAAGTTCTTAGATGTTGGTCTTTGGTATCTCTACGTGAGAGAAGGGCATGGTTTCTTTTTTTTCTTCTTTTCTTTCTTATCCCCCCCCCCCGCGGACCTCTTTAAGCAGCTTATTTGAACAGGAGAGATGACTTGATAGATACTATGCTTTCAAATTGTCTTGTTGATTTGCTTCCTACTTATAACAGATTGTTAGGTCTTTTTCAAGAAGTTTTTCTATCCCTTCAATGGGGCTTCATTTTTCTTGTGGCCAGAGATACATTCTCTGAATCAGAAGATCTCTGAAAACCAATATTTCCTCTATTGTTATCACATCAACTAATTTCTTCTGAATCTTTTTGGGTCACTGCAGCTGTGTTTTTTTTTTTTTTTTTTTTATTGCTATTGCACCTAATGTTTTTTTATTTTGTTTTTGCAAATGCAACTGAATTTTTTTTTTTCATTAATCTCTGCAGATGAGCCTCTCAATCTATGGAAAATGGGTCCTTTTTCTGCTTGCAAAATAACAAGATTGGGAGTGTTTTTTGTTTTATTTTTCATTTCATATACCATCTTTCAACTACTTTATTCTCAAGTCTTCTTGACCCTTGTATTGGGTGAATATTGGGACAGGTGGGGAATAATCAACAAAAACTTAATCTCCAATGTTGAGCACTAGGAAAACTGCTGAAGATTGGCTAAAAAAATAATTCCATGAAACTCTGAGTATATATTCATATAAGGTTATGTGAACTATTTCATTCAAATATATAATTTATTCGAAAATTTTAACATAAATATGTTATAAAATCACTACAATAATAGCCATTTTATTTCAACACTTCTGATGTCTTATCAAGTGGTGGTGTTAAGCACTTTTAAGAATAGTATTTTTTGGTTATTGGAATTTATTCTGTATATACCAATCCTATACTTTGATATATATATATATGTGCACACAGTCTTGTTTTTATTAGATTTATTACTCAAAATGACTTCCTAGTTGTTTCTTGTTGAAATTCGATTGTGCTGCTTTTCTTCTCACACAAGAAATAAGGGTAATGTGACAGCAAGTCTCCTTACATTTGTTGATTTTCCATATTACTGTAGTCTAGATAGATCTTCAGTTAATACGGCCATGGCCTTTAGCCCATGTTCCAAAGTTATTTGTTTTCTCTAATGAGATGGCATTATTCCTCCACCCAAACTATAGTTCTCAAGTTTTCACTCGGTCGGCTCCTAATTTGACAGCATTATTATTGTTTAATAAGCTTAAGCTAAGATTATCCAATACTGTATGACACAAGGCCAAACAAGTTTAATAAAAATTGTCAGTCAGTTCTTTTAAGTGGAGAAAGAAAGAAATTTTGTCTGTTGGGAAATTGGTTTTTAAATTTTTTTTTTTTTTTTTAATGCCTGAGTCTTGTGAGGCCAGCAACATTGAGCCAGGTCATGAACTAGATGGGTGACCACTTGGAAATATTATATTGGATGCACAGGTGGTGTAATAGATAACAGAAATAAGAAATCAGAGATGAGTTCCAATTCCAGTCACTTGTGTGCAAATACTTTCAAAGAAAGGTATGAAACCACCTCTTCTACTCCCAAATATGGATTAAATAGCAGGACTAGTATCTGAAAAACATTATCTTCAAAAGGAATGCTAATGCAATATTCACTTGCAAAAAAATTATTCTTAGAATCCAAAAATATATTTCAGCTTTAAATAACCAAAAAAGGTTGATAAGCCATAAAAAAACAAATCTGTTCAACATTCTAATGACACTAGAGAGTATTTAATTCTCAACCATAATCAAGTCACTCTTTTATCATTACCTTTTGTATTTTGTCCATTGTTATTGCATTCATTACAATTTATCATATTTTATTGTATTTTGGTCAGTTTTCAGTGAACACAACACTTATTAAAAAAAACAGACATTAAATCCTCAGAATTTCAAAATTAGATTCATTGAAAAAAAAAAGAAAGTTTTATCTTTATTTAGAGTCGATGATTAGCAGTTTTAGCTCTTTGAATTTTCTAATGAATCTTAATGTTTTTGGTTAATAATTGAACAAGCTTCTTGCACGATACACAACTATAAAATAAATTCCCCCATTGCCTCATTAAATATTTGAGCTGAACAACTTTAACGAAATATTACAATAACAATCAAATATGAATGCAGGTCATTATTTAAAGAAGTAAGAGGGTACAAATGAAAAGATTTAAAATTGACAAGGTTTTCCATTTCACTGAAGCAGATGTTAAAGATGAGTGTTATCACCTCTTCTATCATTTTCTCCCCCTTTTCTTTTCTCACCACTTTCT